TAAATGTATTTTTTAAAATAATAGTTGTTGATTTTTTATTATTAGAAAATGATAAATTTTTAGTGTGAAAGTAATTTTTCCTAGTTGAGCATTTTCTTAGTACATTTACGGCTAAATTTTCATCTAATTTTCTTTATTAAATAAACCATAGAAAAAATAATAACAATATACCCCTAAGGCCAAATTTCGTCCATACACCAACACACATTACAACGAGTAAAGGTTTACTTAATTATATATGTGTGAGCTACATAGGTTCCAAGAAAGGATCCTCTAACCCTTAAAGTAAGACATTTCTGCCTCTAAATAAATTTAGCTTGAAATTAATTGTTTCAACAACTGGACCAAATCTAAGCTCTAATATCCCATTAACAGCGTTTAAACATATAGACAAGGTTTGGAAGGGTGTTAGATTGTGTAGCGAGCCGTTGAGACTATGGTGAATCTTTAGGATGAAGTGGTTTCCTAAATTAGCACTCTAGTGTCTTTACTTTTACACATTTCATAGTAGTTAAATAGCCAAATAACTATGGGTTGATTCTTATGTCCATGTGCCATTTAGCATGATAAAAAAACTAATAACTTTAGTGAAGCCACCAACTTGTGAAAGATCAACTCTAGCTATGTCACCAAAAAATTTCAATTGGTCAAGCGTTCTTATCATTATTCTCTTTTAACCATGGTATTACTCAATAGGTATACTTGAGTAATACCATGGTAATTGTGTTTTATTTGACTTACATCTTTATGGAGAATGTTATCAATTGAACTAATATGTTTAAATGTTAAACTTAGTTTAACTTAATTTTTACCTCAAGTAAAATGGAATAAATTAGATCATTGATTTATCATGGTATAATTGGCCCACTTACTGGTGTCAAATAACTTGAGTTAAATTAGAAACATCGTTTCGACATTCTTGGCTATAATCACTTCAAAAGGTTTAGTTAACTTTAACTTCTGTATTGAATACTTATTGAGAGATTGGGCTTCCTCCCCATGATGCAAGACCTTAATTCATTTCCTCAGTTATGAACAAATATGTGACTAATGATAATTGAATTGAATTATAACCATTATGATCATCCTAAAAAAGCACTTCTATGATTCATTTGTTAATTACTTTTATATTGGTTTATTCTACCCATTTAGGCTTGCACCTATATTAGTGATTTTAGCTTTGTTGATGTAGCATTGATTGACCTCACCAGCACTAAATTTAGGTTTAAATTACTCATTTCGACAATGGTTTGGAAAATTTCATCAATTTAATTGATAAGGCGTTCTGGAAATTGGGTTAATATATAGTAGGGTTATTGACCTTATTGAAATTCGTAATCATTGTGAGTGATAACACTATGATTGATGTTTGCAATTGATTTGGCCTAAAGTTGAAGCGTTTTTTGTTAGTTCCAAGATGCATTCTATCCTATTGTCACTTTTTTTCTGCTGCATTCGTAACCCATAGTGGTATTTTCGGACCCAGGGTGGCTCGCTATGATCCATTCTGATTCAGGCTGTTAATTATAAGATAATAGCATTTCTCAAACTGGTAGGAGGTGAATCTTCAACGTACAAATTTTTAAAAATACTGAAAATTTTCATTTCAACAAACTAATCGGAACGTTATTAATACATGTGTTTGCTAGTATTTTCCAGTAATAAAATCATTAATTGAACCAAAAAAAAAAAGATTGGTGCAGACTTGATTCTCCCATGAAAAGCCCCTCTAGCTGATTACTTTTCACGAAATGGCAGTCCCACGGCTGAAAATATAAAAGACAACAGTAGTCATTCAACTAGTACAATTTTTATATCAAACAGACAATCATCATCTCATTGTTTATACATTGTCATTAAGATACAAAGCTTGAGGTTGCTAATTTATATAAAGGTTGGGAGATTGAGAGAATGAGAGAGGAGTGCAAAGGGAAAAGAATAGAAATTGATCGGAAATCAATGGAGAAAATGGATGAAATGTCGACGGAGGTAAAAAGGCAGATGCGCCTTGCAATGCCTCTTACAATTGCAAATTTGCTTATGTTTGCCCTCCAATTCGTGTCAATAATGTTGGTGGGCCATATAAATCACCAGAAGCTCGCCGGCGCCTCCATAGCCATTTCCTTCGTCAATTCCATCGGCTTCTCAGTGCTCGTACGCCCTCCGCCTTATTTTACTTGTTTTTAAGCATAGATGGTTGGTCGTTAATACTCAAAATGTTCTGTCAGTAGATATGAAATCTTATGAAATTAACATAGCAAATTATGGGAGATGAGCCGCATCAGTTTAAATTTTATAGCTTGCAAACCTGCTTGGAGCTGTTTGATGTTTAGATAAGCATAAATCCAAGTAGAACAGATTTCAACCTTATTAACAAAGCTTGTATATGATAATTTCCTTCGTATAAACTCCCAAAGTTCTAGCTGTTAGAAAAAGACTATTCATGATTTGTCTTTCTTTTGTCCGTGATTTAAATAGATGGGGGTAAGTTCTGCATTAGACACCTTATGCGGGCAATCTTTTGGAGCAGAAAACTACAAGATGGTAGGCTTACATTTACAAAGAGCAATGGTGATATGTGTACTAGCGAGCATTCCACTTGCCTTTGCAATGGGTTTCTCTGGTACCATCCTCATCCTGCTCCGCCAAGTCCCAGAAATATCAATGGCTGCTCAATCCTACGCTCAGTTGATGATACCTTCACTATTCGCCTTCGGCCTTATACAGTGCATCCTCAGGTTCTTGCAAGCTCAAAAAATCGTGGTCCCCATAATGCTTGGCGCTGGAATGACAGCAATTTTTCACGGCGTCAATTGTTGGTTCTTCACGTTTAAAACAGGGCTAGGTTATCGAGGAGCCGCACTTTCAGTATCATTATCTTATTGGTTCAATTTGTTGCTATTAGTAATCTATGTTATTTTTTCTCCTTCCTGTAAATCAACATGGACTGGATTATCTAGAGGGGCTTTTCATGGCTTATTGGACTTCCTTAAGCTTGTCATACCATCAACTTTAATGGTTTGGTAAGTACAAGAAACGCCATTTTTGTTTACTAGTTCTTGTACTCACTTGTTTTGGCGCTTAGATGAGATATGTTTGCAGTTTTCAAAACTGGCAATTTGAGTTATTGTTGCTGCTTGCTGGACTTCTTACAAATCCAGAGCTCCAAACATCGTTAATGTCAATCAGGTATATTTTTAAATGGATAAAATTCATCTGCATAATCTTATTTTAGTTAAAATTATTCAGTTCTAAAAGTGCTTAATATTGATTCCATTTTTACAGCCAAAATATTTCTTCTGTTGTGTATATGATCCCACTGGGCGTCAGTGGAGCAGTTAGGTGAGTGAATTTATTTCATTTTTTTTTTTGTTTCTTGAAATCATTTGCAAACTCAGAACATTCATAAGAATTTTGCCTCAATATTTCCAGCACCCGAATATCCAATGAATTGGGAGCAGCAAATCCAAGGGCTGCTGTGCTTGCCGTATTTACTGCAGCGATAAGTATAGTTGTTGAAGGTCTGGTCGTGGGATTTGGGATGATCGGTGGACGGCGATTGTGGGGACATGCTTATACCAGCGAGAGTGAAGTTGTGAATGCTGTGGCTGCAATGGTTCCATGGATTGCTCTATCGCATTGCATAGATGGTTTCCAATGCGTGCTTTTAGGTATTTTATTCTTCTGCACCAACAATAAATAAGGTATAAAGAAGGATTGATTGCTTATGCGATTGTTCTATTATTTTCAATTCTATTAAATGCTAGTGAAAACTGTTAAGATGCATGTATATAAATTCAGGCACAATTCGAGGAAGCGGAAGACAGAAGGTTGGGGCTTTTGTTTGTCTCGGTTCTTACTACCTCGTTGGAATTCCAGCATCTATACTTCTTGGTTTTGTATTCCATTTGAAAGTGAAGGTAATAAGTTCAAATCTTTTTGCTCTTTGAGCAGTGAACATAATTTAAATATTAATATAACAAAGAAATTCTTGACAAATTAGTGCTGATAATGTAGGGTCTTTGGATTGGAAATATATGTGCAATTTTTGTTCAAGACATGGTGCTTTTCAGCATGACAGTCTTTACGGACTGGGAGAAACAGGTGAGCTTTTAACATGAAGATCACTTTTTGTTTTCATTGGCTTATTGATTCCTTGTTCTCTAACCATGGTAAAATCAGTCAACCAAGTCCACTTTGAAAACCTACATAAGAAGTGTTAATCAAGTTTTTCTTAATGCTACCCTGTATATATGTTTCAATTCATCTCTAAAAATACTCTTTGTATTTTACCTTCAGGCTAAAAAGGCCGTGGAAAGAGCACAACTTTCTGAGAGATCATCAAACTTGCAAGCGTCAGACCCCACACGTTGGATATCAAATATCCAGTCAACAAGATTTTCCTTTTCCATGTCGATTGATGAAGAAGAATAAATTGTTTCAAAAATTTCTGAAATGGAGGATGGGAAATTTTCTTCCTTATCACTTATAGACATATATCTATATCTATAGAGAGAGAGAGAGAGAGGGAGGGAGAGAGATAGAGAGAGAGTATTTACAAACTTTTGTGACTGTATTATAATTTTGATGTATCTATGCATGTTATTAGTAAATATTGAACCAATCTCTCTAATTCCCTCAGTTGTACAATTGCATATACTTTATATGTATGTATGTATGTATGCATGCATGCATGTATATATGTTTAGAGTTTAGGGTCGGGGGTTCGAATCCCGTGGCGCGGGTTCTTCGGATCATTTAAAGCACACCTGGGTTTCGACCCAAATGGGGGAAACGTTATTTGGTGTCCGTTGGACCAAACACCGATTCCCTTTTTTTTTTAAGAAAAAAAAACATGTTAATGTTCCAACTTATGTATTTATATGAAACTTTTATAACAAATTGTTCAAATCTAATTGTTATTATTATTATTATTATTATTATTATT